ATACCCTCTAACCATCATGCTGTCCACATCACTGAAAGTCGTAACCTGGCGTCGACACACATACTTTACGGATATCGGCGCCAACCACTGCAGCCGCACGCCACGGATCTCACCCCGGTTCTTGAGCACTACTCGCATGGATATCACACGGCAAGCACCAACCCCACCGTTGCAGTGCAGGTTTGGCGCGTTCAGGTCACAGCATTTAAGAATCATGGGGCTGGCGTGGAAGCGGCTGACGGCACGCTGCACGGCCAGGCACCAGAAAGCGAACTTCCCCCATACCAGCACCTCCACCGCCACCTTCATCCCCGCTGTGCTGATGGTGATGCCAGCAGTTCTATTGAAGCGGCGCACCATGCGCGTCTGGTGCGTGACGAACACCAGCAGCAGCAGCGAACGCAGGCCCTCGCAGACGTCTATAGTTCACAGCTTTTGATGCCCCGTGAGAGCCCAGAAATGCCCCTTTTCTGAGTTACTCAATACATGTGTGGTTTTTTTAAAGAAATCAAAGGGATCGGATTTTTTCATGTCGTAGATTATTATTACTTTTTATTTGTATATACATTTTTGTGTATACATATTTTTATTTGTATGTATAATACACATTACGCTAGAAACTGATCATTTCCGGACATTTATGAGTTTATCTTTGAACTAGGCCTAATGTCACCAAGCAACTGGCACCAGTTTACCCTGCATTGCATTCGTTATCTGGGAATGTGTCACCTATGCTTGCTTGTTTTACTTTATCACGTGATCTCCCACGAACGGAACGCCGGCTCGGCCCCTTATTTTCACCTGAAAGATTTGTCTGAATTATTGTGCAAATTCATTCGAACCGGTTTTAGATCGGTTTCAACATGTTAGGTTGCTCTGCTTATCCCTCATCACACGTTATATTTGTGCATGACGAGAAAAGATCCGGTACGCAGTCACGTGTAGACACCACAGTTTTCGATGTTTCGTGAGCAGCCGAGCAATGGTCTCCTGTCTCATATAGTCTACACTTGAAGCGTTAAAAAGGAAAAGGGGTCCGAATTTTCAAGTCGTTGGACTTCGTGTTGAAGCGGACAAGAAATGCTGCATTTCGCCGGAAGCTTATTATTTTCAGACATTTCTAACCTTATCTTGCAAACTGGGTTGCATTCGATCGAGCATATGACACCATTTCATTCGGCATCGCATTTGCTATCTGAAAACATGTCACTTATACTCGCTTGTGGAAGCTCATCACATGACTTCACATGACCTGAACTCCAGGTCAGCCGCCTTATCTTTTGCCTAAAAGCTTCGATTCAAATTGCGCGTACGTTCAGCCAAAACAGGCTTATATCGGCTTCAGTAGGTTAGGTTACTCTCCTTAACCCTCATCATGCGTTACATTGGCACGCGAAGAATATCAATCTGGAATGAGGTGACGTCTAGAATTCAGGTGGCGTCCAGAGTTCAGAGTTTTTTTTATTTCCGTACAATTCCGAGAGATACTCTTGAAGCCGGGGATATTCCATACTTGTAGTGTTCAGAATGTTCCTGGTCGTTAGGTCTCGTGCTTAAGTCGATGTGAAATAGTTCATTATGCGAAAAGTGATAAGTTTATAATAAAATCAGAAATACCTTTCGATCCGTTCAGGTTTTGACTATTTTCAGTTTTTGCTGGGGGTTGCATGATAGCTGAGTAATATGTAGTCGTGTGTACAATATGCATTATGTTTGTCCACATTTAACGGCTGACATGTTATGACCTCTGGAGGTGAAGCCGCTGGCAGGGACTAAAAACCACCCCGTCAAGCAGACACGCTCGTTCTCCAAAACCGCTCTTTCGATCGCTTCGAAACCTTCACCAACCGATTCAGTGAATGAGATGAGCAATGGCGCGGCAATATCGAAACCTGAGCCAGAGTGAAGCACCTCAAAAACGCGAATGAAAAAATGTCACGTACAAAAGCAGACAACTCAGCTCTCGGAACGTAACTGACCGATCGCTACGAAGCTTTTACTTTTGGATGCGTCACACCCGATTCGCTGTTGAGGTTGATAATTTGGTGACCCCTCGTCACATCAAAAGTCATCAAATTTCACGAACTCCAAAATTCTTGCCTGCAGAGAACTCATATCTCAGAGCTGATAACTCCGATCGTGCCCAAGCCCGCACCATTCGATGAGACTTGCCCTGCAGTTGCGATGTGTGCCATAAAGCTGCCGGCCCATGGAAATCGCGACGTCGGTCTCATTTATCGTGACATTTATCGTGGCATTATCGTGACCTCAAATTACGCACAGGCATGCTCAAAGCTCGTGCTTGAAAGCATTGTATAGTCAACGGCTGATTCAGGACATTGCTGAACGCACCCTGACAAGGACTGGTTCGCCTTACCAATTAAGATGTTTCGACCCTGTTTCGATCCAACCCAGTGTGCAAATGGCACACAAGAATGAAAGCCACAACCGTTTCCTTCCAGATGATATAGCTCGTAATGACAAGTAATGTCGATTTCGTAAATATTTAAGGCTTGGTCAAGTTGATAGGGAAAGAGCAACGTAGTATTCAGCTATAATGCTAAAATAAACAGAAAACATGCTGATTGTCTCAGCGCACTTCCCGGTTTGTAATGCTGTCAGACTGCACGTCATGGGTTATGTAGTCCGCCATCTCACATGTAGTGCAGAAGTGGCGTATTCACGGGACAAAAATGATGGTTGTCGTTTAGAAACTGGCCCTTATTTCAATGAGTTCGTAGCGTATTGTATTCATGTCAATGCCGCGCAAACATGATATCATCAAATCAATTCCGTGAGCTCACGACGGCCTATCTTAATCACAGCGTATCTCCCGTTGTTTTTATGTGAATCCCCGGGTTGGACCAGCCGCACGTGCGCCTTTGCTAATGTTCACGTTCTGGCCGCTGCGCCCTGCCGAAACTGCTCGATGCGTCACAAAAGGCGTTTACGTAAGGTGTGTGCGCATCTTGGGCTACCTTTGGTACAAATTTTGTTAAAATCGAAGGAGTTATCGATTTCTGCTGAATGTGAATTTCGCACTGTTGCTATCTGCACAGATGTACAATCCAAGTTGGATGGTGTGTTCAGGGTGTGAACAATAAAATATGCTTACTAGGTGCACTGAACCAAACACCACCCATGTAAACCATCTGGAATGCATATACTAAATTTGTACATACATGGAAATAATAATCTACCCGCTGGCGTGTAGTCCTGCACTGTCATGGGCAAGAGGCCTCGCATTAGCTTCCCTCAAATCCTATGTAAGCACATGTAGCAGTAAATCCAAGGTGGTCGCCATGGTCTGCCGAAAACGATTTCATAAGCGCGTGCGATTCAGCCTGAGAGACCCACGTTAGACGACACAACGCGGGACTGTACGAGAGGCGCGGCTGAGACGGGACGCAGCAAAATTGACAGAAACCGTATACGGTGTGCGGCGTGCCAATTGCATGAGCGTCAAACGAGTTTTGGGACTGGACTGCGGTGTGCCCACTTCACCATTTCTAAATTTTGCCGCTTCAACGTGCTTTTTTATTCCGGACGAATGCAAACCTGCAACCTTTGGCATGCAGGCTCAGGACCACGAGCAATGAACTGACAAAAAACAGTCCACTCAAGATTTGATGGATCAAAAAGTCCAACAGTTTGAAATTTGACCGTTGAAATATTCTCGTATTCCGAATTGCAGTGAATACAAAGCTGACTATGTTGTTTACTCAGTGCCATAGCTAGGAGAACTCACAAACAGCAGCTACCCCCACGTTTGCGTGGTTAAGTGAGCACCAAAATGATTTTCTCGAATAGTCTTGAGACCGGATTGCCCAAGTCGTACATCGTCGTAAATCCCAGAGGATTGCTCTGTTTAGAACCACCATGTTGTACGAAATTGGCTGCAAATGGCAGCCAAATTCGACCAACCGACGCACGAAATACCGGGGCGTATCAACCTGGAGCTTTGAATACCAATATCCATGAAACGAAGACCGTTTTCACAACACACCTCTACTGAGAGAAGTACCATCTATTTCCTCACGGATCCATAAGCAGCTAATCGTACCTTATTTATGCAACATCCAAGCGGCGTCCGACTATCCGCACATAGTAGGACACAATCATGTGTGGGAGTATACACACGGCGAACAGTAATGTATACTACATATGTCAGGACAATGGTTAGCTCACAAACGGCTGTATAAAGAGGCTGGCAATACGCTTGTGCATACTGGTCCGTGAGGGCCAGCAGCAACAAATATCACGATTCCACGCCACATTTCCTCAATCTCTACCTGTTGCATCTCGAAGGCAGGTAGAATGCATCCAGTTTGAGACAGCGACCCGTTGGCACGTGAGCCTTGCTGAAAACAACCTCCACGCGTAGAATTACCACCAGAATACAATCACGCAGTTATTAATTCGTAGCATCGCGGATTCGCGTGAACCTGCCAAGCCGGGCCAGCGACGGGCAGCGGACAGCAGTTCCACCTGCAGCGGCGGGGCAGCGGACATGCAGTTCCACCTGCCGCGGCGGGGCAGCGGACGGCAGTTCCACCTGCCGCGGCGGGGCAGCGGACGGGCAGTTCCACACTGCCGCGGCGGGGCAGTGGACAGCGGCGCCACTTAACGACCGTGGACCGAGCGTGACCCGCGCTACTCTCCAGCCACACGGTGGACCGTCAGTCCACATCCGTCACCAGAGCCAGCACACAGCTGCCACACCCGACTGAACAGCCCCGCACTATTCCCCTTCCCCGGTCAGGCAGCCCGATGGATAGCAATCCCCCGATCCACCACCAACGGCACAACACAGCCGGTACAGCAGAACCGAGTGTCACCCGCACGCGGGGTTCCGTGCGCCGGGTTTCTGAGGTTCTGAGCCGTGACTGACACGGCTACGTCTTCTTGACGCGCTTGGCGGCGGGTGGGGCGGGGCAGCGCGGGCCCGGCCGGGCCGCGCGCCGGACGCTTGCGGGCTTGGCGTCGTCCGGGTCGCGTCGTCACGGGTGTGCGCCGCGCAGCCCGTTCTCCAGCCGCGCCAGCTTGGAGGCCAGGTCGGCGATTAGCAGATCCTGGGCAGAGAGCTTCTCAGCCTGGTCGTTCAGTTCTGCTGCCGCAGCCGGTCAGCGACTGGCCCTGAGTGCTGGAGCGGGACCGCTGGGGCCGACACCTGGCGAGAAGACGTACTGATGACGTCACATACCGCAGCTGGGTCAGCGACTGACGCTGATACATGCTCTCTAACCAGTCACCACACACGAGCGTGTTTTCGTTCGCTTCTGGGTCTCGGGAGCGAGACACTAGACAGGACGGACCTGCTGCAACTCGGGTCTGGCAGCCAGGCGCGGAAAGGGCCCGTTTGTTCAGGTGAACCTAAACGCACCGTATTCCAGCCCACCACTCTCCGGTTGCCTCTATAGCGTCACTGCAAGCCAGAGCCTGAGTCAAGCCCGTAGCCTGCCAGAGCGCCACCTATCGAGAAGACCTTGTACTAATTACCACGCGTGTGCTGAGTCTACGTCCACCCGTGAGCACATCTGCGTTTGAATCTGCAAACCGCAACCTTGGATTGACGTCTTTACTTTTAGTGCGAAGACGGGCTGCACTGACCGAGGATGCATCGCTGAATGCCCAAAAGAACGTCCGCTACTTTATCTACGAAACAATGTCTACGAAGGTGAATCATACGGAACACGACGCCAATCATAACGGACTGGACCACAGTATAACTGTCCTTTTTACGCAGTATACATCGTGCTTAACTGTGTGTAAACTGTTACACATGTCCATCAATTCAAGAATTTATCATGTAAACGTCAATCGTGTGCATGCCAGCCAGTATAACGGTAACTGTTTTTCCCCGGCGAGACAAAAAGCTACGCCACATCACTACAGGCTTGCCCGATGCCGGACAACTAGAGGAAGCGGGCCCCCCGAGGAGAAGACAATGCGATGCACTCTGTGCCCGTCGCCGTTCAATGCTTCTCCTGCTGCTATCCAGCACAACAACGCCCAACCATCTCCTCAATTTGACCTGTGCGACGTGAGCTGACCATACAGCGTCATGACGTGAGCTAACCATACAATACCATGGCGTGAGCTGACCATACAGTACCATGACGTGAGCTGACCATACAGTGTCATGACGTGAGCTGACCATACAGTACCATAACGTGAACTGGTCATACAGTACCATGACGTTAATTGACCATACAGAACCATGACGTGAACTGACCACACAGTACCATGACGTGAACTGACCGTACAGTACCATGACGTTAACTGACCATACAGTACCATGACGTGAACTGACCATACAGAACCATGACCTGAGCTGGACATACAGAACCATGACCTGAGCTGGCCATACCGTACCATGACGTGAACTGATCATGCAGTACCATGACGTGAACTGACCATACAGTGCCATGACGTGAACTGACAATACAGTACCATGACGTGAACTGACCATACAGAACCATGACCTGAGCTGGCCATACAGAACCATGACGCGAGCTGACCATACAGAGCCATGACGTGAGCTGACCATACAGTACCATGACGCGAGCTGACCACACAGAACCATGACATGAGCTGACCATACAGTACCATGACATGAACTGACCCAGTGCTGTCATATTTACCCCTTGGGTGACAGCGATGCCAATATGTTTTCATGATACTACACCGCGGCTTGAGGCTCACTGTCTGTTGCCCATTCCCTTGCTCAAAATCAGCCAATCGGCATCGAACAATGCGACAGTCAACCCGGCATCGAAGCGCCTCAGGCTTTACAAATGGCCCGGACAGGTCAGATGTCTGGGTTTGGGGTCAAAGGGCATCTGCTGAGCGCCAACGAATGGCGAGTGAGGACCGCCGGAGAGCCGGGATTCGGGTAGAATGCAACTTTATTTTATATCCTTGCACACCCTACAAGAAAAAAAATTTGGAATGCTCAGCATACCATAACATACCATGACATGAGCTGAGCATAGTGTGCCATGACATGAATTGTCGACGCAGGATAATGACGTGAGCTGCCGCCACAGTATCACGACGTGGGGTGCCCATACTGTGCCATGACGCGAGCTGACCATACAGCACTGACCACGTCATCCAGTGGTCCCCTCCCCCTTCCGCCCAGATCACAGCACGCACCTGCTGGCTGAGCTTGGCCACAGAGTGCTCCACCACGTTGATGCTCTTGTTGCGAGCCTCGATGGCGGCGCGCTGCGAGGAGAGCAGGCTGCCCAGGCACGAGCTGGGCCAGGTATCACCCGACGGAGCGCCGCCGTCTGCAGAGGGACGAGGTCAGCAGGTCGCTCACACACAGACTGGGCCAAGTGTCACCCGACGACGCGCCGCCGTCTGCAGAGGGACGAGGTCAGCAGGTCGCTCACACACAGACTGGGCCAGGTGTTATCCGACGACGCGCCGCCGTCTGCAGAGGGACGAGGTCAGCAGGTCGCTCACACACAGACTGGGCCAGGTGTCACCGACGACGCCCGCCGCTGCAGAGGGACGAGGTCAGCAGGTCGCTCACACACGGACTGGGCCAGGTGTCACCGACGACGCGCCGCCATCTGCTTAGGGTCGAGGTCAGCAGGTCACACAGACACGAGCCGGGCCGGGCCCGACGGCGCGCCGCACCCCCCGCCGCCGCCGCAGAGGGTCGAGGTCAGCAGGTCACATAGACACGAGCCGGGCCGGGCCCGACGGCGCGCCGCCACCCGCCGCCGCCGTCCGCAGAGCGTCGAGGTCAGCAGGTCGCACAAACACTATTATGAGCGGCAAGAAAAAGTCCGGAGCAGGTAGCGGAATACAGGAATTGAAGCAGCGACAGCGTGGGCCGGGGATTACTGCAAGGCAAACGTGGCGCGACATTCACAACATACAAAAACGACGCCGACGTGAGTGTCCAGTCCGCAGCTGCCAGGGCCATGCTGCACGATCCCGCTCGGATTTCTTGCTTTAAGAAGTTATGCGTGGTCTGCGCGGCTGCCCAGCCAGGCCTCGCTCGGTGCTCTGCAAGCCCAGACGGCAGGGCAGCGACCGGCCCGGCAGGCCTGACTGCGACGTACCGGCGCTGCTGGCACCGCCGGAGAACAGGCTGAGCAGCGAGAGCGGCCGCGGCCGGGCCTCGTTCCGCTTCAGGCCGGGCACGATGTGTTCCTCGAAGTGCTCCATGGCCATGGAGGAGATGTCGCGCAGCTCCTGCAGCACGGTGAAGGACGAGCGCTCCACCGAGGGCGCCTCCTTCAGGTAGCGCACCACCCGGAACACTTCGTCCAGCACCGCGCGGAGAGAGGCGGGAGGGGGTGAGACGCCAGCTCCGAAACTCCGCAACGCAGGGCTTTGCGCAGGGCGGAAGACGCAGGGCATGGGAGTCTGGGACCTTAGGACGGTCCCACTCCGGACCATTCCTGGCCAGTAAGGGTGAGCACAGACGGGCGGCCGGCACCGGCACCAAACAACGGGCATCGCTCCAGCACGGGCTGACTAGACATCGTTCTTCATCGGTCCCGAATATTTTGCCCACGTCCACTGCGTCTCGCCTTTAAGGCCCATCATTTTTTTCATATATATTTGATCGTTCTGTCGCCGTAGATGTATGGCCTTAGTGAAACAATTCAAAACGCATCTTTGTGTCCCAACTTTTTTAGTTCCACTGTCTAGGGTTGTGTTACCCATCATCATTCACCAGCCCCTGCAGGTGCCCTCAAAAGGCTAACAGAATTCACTTCCGCGCACTCCGACCAGTCGTTGATCTGCTAAGCAGCAGGCATAACGCTACATCTCAGGCCGCGCAAGCATCCCCCTCCGTAGATCTCCCCCGCGTCAGCTGCCCCAGCGACCGGACCGGTCGGCCCCGGCGGCGTCGGCCAACCCACCTTGCCCGGAATGAAGCAGCACGCGTCCATCTCCATGTAGCGGCGGTAGGTCATGCTGAGCAAGCCGAGGCGAGTCTCGACGGCGGCCAGGTGCTCCACGCGCCGCGAGAGCGGGTGCTCGCGCCGCTCCGACTCGCGGCGCGGCAGCTGGGCGCGGAACAGCTTCAGCGCCTGTTGCACATACCGCTCGGCGCGCGAGAAGCCCTGGTTCAGCCGGTGCCGGATGGCGCGCTCGAACGTGCGGCACACCTGGCGGCGGGCAGGAGCTGGTTCACGGACAGCACGCCGGCGACTCTCGGCACGCGTTGGGGACGACACGGCTGCTCGTGCGAGCACCAACGGCAGCCCACACACCAGCGCACCACGTTAACCACTCCACAGGCACCACCCGGGGTCAAGCATCCATGACAAGCCTCCGTCCGGTCCATCAAAACACGGCAGGAACTCAAACCGCACGCCACACGCGACGGCGGCTGATGAGTCGTTTCAGGTTCAGACCCAAGCGTGTTCTATTGCGTTTTATTGCCATCCATGTTTCGCAACGCCTATGCTTCTGCTTCGTTATTATTTATGTGGCACGGTGGGCACCTTCAACAATTCACAAGGAAGCAGCTGTACAGACGATGCATTAGGCTAAGCTAGCGATTAGTTTACACCACGACGTACCAGCCGGATGTTGGAGGCGGTCTCATATGAAAGATAGCTGATGATCGCCTCCAGGAGTTCAGGAGGCAACATCAGAATGTTGGCAGGCTCTCTGCCCAGATCGGCTGTGACGAGATCCATGACGGCTGCTGTAAACGCACATTACGTGTTAGGCAATACAGATCCATGTGTAAATGATGGAAAGAGCTTTAGCCTTATCATTTGTGAAAAACGAGATCATAGTCATACGCAAATGGCTATCCCTCTAATCCCGTTGTGTGGACTGGGCAGGCTGATCAGAAAAGTCCACCTACAGCAACAATGACTGCTTGACTGTACATCAGGTAAGTGTGTACAACACCTGATGTGCATCAGCACGAGTGCATTAGCTCGAACTTCGACAGATGTTTCGCCGGACGCACTTTTCAAGGGTGGTGGTGTCCACACCTCCACAAAAATAGTGGGGTGAGTTATATGTGCACGTCATACCGCATCTCCACGAGATCCACTGCTGACTATGAGTGTTACCATCTCCAGCGGTATTTATCAATATCTCTCTGTCTACGTCAGTTGCTGTAACTTATTAACACAGATTCTACGCCAACGATTGTAGGATCAGGTATGCACACTGTGCGGCCTTTGGTTCTAAATGCCTCAGGTAAAATGGGCGCGATCCGTGCAATCCTTTAGGCACATGTATCCAGGACTGTTTAATGTTTGATTTGTAGAAGTCTGCAAAACGTAATTTCACATCAAGTGCACCTATGGATCCTCCCTGCCCCAGGTACAGAGGGGGGAGGGGGGCGCACCACACTGGGTGCCAGCTGTGAAACTGATCAGTGCGACGCAGGGTGTAAACAGTGTTGCTCCCCGCCACCCCCGCGACCGGAGGACACTAGAAACATAGTGAGCGCCACATAGTACAAACAAAGCATGTCTGCGACCCACGCCACATCAGATCTGAGAGTAGCTTTCATTACAGGCTGCAGCATAGCCAACATGAACACACGACTGTTGATGAGAGCATGCCTATTTCCCAATCCACTGTCAGATTATGTAGATGTCTACCATGCTCCAACAGCCAGCTCGAGCCATTCCTGGTGCACAACTATCACGAAAATGTAGCCGGCAACATGGGATGCCAATGGGGTTTAGGTTTCCGGGACATAGTCAAGTTGGACCCTGTTTTATCAGCAGCTTAAAGTTCTTCTGGGGGTAAACAGTGGCACCTCTCATGTTTGTAGTAGGGCCAATAATAACATGACCTAGTGCACACTCTGTGCTGTGCAAATCAGCTAGCCTTTCACTACAAACAACTGACAGTACTTTTTTCTTGTTGCCTCCCTTCCTAACTGACATAATGACACTAACAGGTAAACATTTCAGATGAACCAATGCCAAGCCACATGTTTTCCTCACTGTAGTCTTTGTTGTGATGATTAACAAGATGCCAGGTTAAACAAGCAAGATGCCTCTTGTGACATGGGACCAGTAATACCATGATCAACACAGCCTAGTATAAAATATGGCAGCAACGGCGCACATTTCACGACTAGCCATGGCGCTCCCATGTAAAATGCTCTTCTCCAGGCCCACAGCTTTCATAATCTTAAACATATATGCATACAAAGTGCATAGAAGTGAAGCTTGTACAATTCTCTTTTGATTTCCGGGATCAAAAGTGTGCGCCATAGCATTCATTTTCGAACCATCATGTAAGGCGTAGACCCATGTACGCGCCGCGATGTCCAGGCCTAAGATCGAATCCCGCTGTCGCCAACTCTTTTCAGCAGAGTTGAGATGGAACATGGAGTGAAATATGGTCGCTGACTGGCGATAAAACTATTGAGTGCAATAATTTCTGATTAGCTATATATATATATATATATATATATTATAACATAACACATTAATGTATATAAAATATGCATATCCATGCATATTGTCTAGCCTGAAGATGCAGCTGCTGTGCTGTGAAACATGCTGCAAGTTACTACAAAAAATACATATGAGATCTTTTTACACCTATAAAATATACCTGACAGATGTTATGCAGCCTTTGGGCTTCATGCAACAGCCTATGGCTGAGGTGCATAGCATAACTGTGCCTGATGTATGGAACCTATGGCGATGGTAGCGATCCAAAGCTGGGCGTCCTCAATCCGGCCAGTGGTAGGACCAGGCACTGTGTTAGGTGCTTAAGGTGCGATGCTGGCGGCCACTGCTGTGTAGGGCTGGCAATGCTGCCTCAAGACCAGCACAGCAATGATGACACAGTAACATTGCCAGCACCTCTGATCGGGAAGCAGTTGTGCTTAAAAGCAGGATGGTAAACATTATAGTGATAAGTGCCATGATGGCAAGCTATACTGCACAGTGGTGCTGGTGACAAAATTTATAAAACTACTTTGATTGATCCTGAAGAGCTTAAACACCTGACGGACCTATGGCCTAAGTGACCATGCTCCCTAAAACCATTTGCAGGAAGGGTTTTTTGGCATAAAGAGAATAAAAACATTTCATCACTGGCTACACTAAGCAACTAAACCTGAAAAGCTAGCTTTCACATTACAAAACCTGCAAAATAAATATGTGAAACTTAAATATGACACAATTTTTATAGTTGTCATCCAGCCTTGTAATTTATAACTAGCTTCCATCCATTAATCCCAGGGTAGGAAAGGCACACCAAAGCATCTAGAGTGGAATGGGCAGCTTAGACAGATTTAGAAGATGCATCAGTATCTGACACATATGCTGCATTTGCTTAAGGCAACAAAAGCCCTCAATGGACCTTAGATTGCCCAAAACCATGCCCCAGTTATACACATTTTTACACAAATGTTGCATGTTGTGTTGATATCATATTTCTGTATCACCCTTGCGCTCAACATTTGCTCATATTGTTGCAAGGAAATTGTTTTGTATAATTTTTGCAATGATGTTCTGTAACATATACAATGCTGAGGATTGGGTTACAGCTAGCTTTCAGAATATTGCAATATTTGACATAAAACATCAGTTTCTATAAATGTCACAAGTATGAAATCCTCCCTTGCATAAGCAGTCATTCTATGATGTCAAAATGAATTTGATAGCCCCGCATCTTACATGATAATTATTTCAGAATAAATCATAAAGATGATTTATCTTGCTGACTAACTGTACATTTCAGGTACAACACAAGCCATTGCACCCATTAAATACATTAACTATGACATTTGCTTCTTACATTGGATACACTTACCAAGCACAGGTTACTGTTAAATGTCAGGTTTATGCTACATGCAGTCTCATGGCGATGTTGAATTTTGTGATGGTGGCCTCCAACAATGTTGAAATGCACTGGCAAATGTTGGCTTGCCCTTCACATATTGTTGCCAGAATATTACAACAAAACAAAGGTAAAAGTCACACCATGATCATCTGCTTTGGGCATCATTTGATGAGATTGGCTGGACTTTTGAATGAAAGACACTAAACTACAACATGAAAAGCATTTAATCAAAATGAGGTGTCCAGACAAATGAAAAACACACATTAGGTGGAGGTGATGGAGTTGCTCTCAGCACAGCCCAACAATAAGCCACACACATTGATTCTTCTGATCTGGAAAAAACATAACTTACAATTTCACATAAGCTGAATTATGCCAGAAAACCTAGCCAATTTTTGATGTCAGATGACCTATTCTAAAAAGTGCAGGCTGGTCACTCCTTTCCTTAAATTTCATATCAGGTATGTGCACAACACTGCATCATACCAAACATTTCCATTACATTAAAGTGCCTTTCATTTCTCAATACACACATCTATTGCAATCACACAGCTGTGCTGAACTGACATAATTACTGGTAAGCCCATTCCATGGGTGGTAATGCCTCTGTAGATATAAGCTATCATTGCATATGTTGAATATTCAAAAGCCAATCTGATGGCGATCTCAATATTCATATACTAAAATATACCAAGATCCTTAGCTCCATCATAAATATACCTGAGCAGACCTTGATCAATCACTTCACCTGCAGCCTCCAGAAGCATTCAATGGCTGGTAGCCTAGGCCACAGTATTCATAACTAGCAAGTTGTGCAGTAACTGAATCCTTACATGATCAGTTTTGATGCAGAATATTTAAATGAGTCATTATATGTAAGCTAAGACACAATGTGACTTAGCAAAGAGCAACATACATCTGATTAGCCCAGACACATCTGAAATTACTTGAACACAATCTAATCCGCCAACCACCATCCCCACTACCCGCTACCACACTTTGTACACTTAAGGGGCCTTGGCCCCCAATGTTGACTTGGGCCCTCTTAATATGTCAAATATGAACATAAAAGGGAATATTGGGCCAATGAGCCATTGTGATTATGAAATGAAGAAGTGTCAAAACTGCTAGCATGCTAGGTACCAAAATGCATCACCGCCAATATAACTTTCATGTATCACTATCATCATTATCATATCAGCCTCAAATAGAAGTGATTCTCCAACATTAAAACAACCTTGGAACCAACTACACTCTTTGTAGTTGGAGCCAACTAGTCTCCTTGAAGATTTGCTTTTATGGCCCAATCTTGCAGTAGTTGGGATCTGAAATGTTTTACTATGGCCAGCTTCAGAGAAGGTATTATTAGCTTATTCCCATAATATTCTTATTGCAACACCTCTTAGTTGGAAGGAGTTAACAATGTATGATTGGTAGACAACACATTTGCCAGCACATTTCAGTTCTTGTCTGACCTGCCTGCCCTGTTGCCAAGATATATATAATAATAAATATAATTATTCATGAATATATAAATATAATAAATCATGAAAAGCATTTCAAGAAATGCAGATTCATATATTGTGCCTGACTTTACCTGAGTGACCACATGCACTGACTCACAGTTTTGACAGCACTATTCCCCCTCATCGCAAGTTACTGAACCCACACAACTGTGATGCAGGGCTATCCAAGTCAAGACCCCTTTGTAATATGGTGTCTGAAACTGGTTCAGCATCTTGGCAAGGGAGAATAGAAGCACTAATAAAATATGGAAATGAGACAAGGCCTTTGCAATCAACCCAAGGCCTCTTGTAACGACAGTATGGCAGGCGTGGGGGCCCACAACATAAACGGTCTTAATAAACTAATTACAGCACGAAAACTGTAGACACCAATACCAGTAAAGCACCAAACATTTATAAACACCTCCAGCACCTTAATTCAACTCTATATGCCATTTATTGGCGATAAATGCTGTTTACTCCCACCCACCGCCCACCCACCACCACCTACATTGCTCACAACACGCCAGTAAATCGCGATGCAGCAGTCAGCTGCTCATGCAAAGATAGTTCCCAGCTGATTGTACGATGACGTCACAAAACAAAAAAAAAACACCGCCAATCTGTGGTAGTGTCGTACGACACCGCACAGGACAAAACCAGACAGGATCGGGCGGAGCTGGACAGAATCGACCGGAACCGAACGGGATCGAACAGGATCGGATCGAACCGGATGAAGGTGCACTGAAACCAGACGGGTTCGGGTGAAAACGCGGACGTGACCGATAGAAACAAGACAGGACAAAACGGCAGCAGATAAGACCGCACGGTGCGGACGGATCGTGATAACGTCAGATGAGACCGGGCAAGATCAGAAGAGACCGGTCCAGGCCGGACGAGGCGGCACGGGAGTGGGACTGGACGGTGCCGCGCGGGACCTGGCGCGATGAACGGGGCCGGACAGAGCCGGATGGGACTGGGCGCCACTAGAAGCGGCCGGACAGGACTGCACGAAACTGAATGGGACCACACCAAAACCAGACACAACCGGGTGGGACCAGATTGAACTGGATGGAATCAGACAAGGTTAGATGGAACCATACGGGACCGGACAGGACCAGACGGGTCTGGTCTCGTTCCGGCCGCGCTCCGTTCTAATCCTGTCCGGTCCCACTCATTTTGCTCACGCCCCTTGCTGTCCGAGCCAATCCCGTCATGCCACTAGGTCCCGTGTCGCCACGTCTGGCTCCGTCCGGTCCTGTCCTGTCCAATCCGATCCCATGAGAGGTCAAATTACATCCGAAACCGTCTAGTTTCATTTAGTTTCATCTGGTTCCAAACGTTGGATCACATTCCAGCCTGTTCTACCTGGTCCCGTTATGTAGCGTCCGACTTTATTACGGAATGTTCCATATCTAAAGAAATTAAAGCGATCATCAGATGTGATGACATAAGCTCACTTATATCTAAGCATTGGTATACTTTTAAGTGGGAAAGACTGTCACAAACAACACAATGTCTCTGTATTGTAAGTACGCTGCTCATGGCGTCATTATCTGATTTCGTCATCGTACCTTGCACAACATCGATTGAGAGCCAGTTAACGACCGTTTTATCCGCTAACTGTGACTACGAACTCCAAATATGAACGACTCGATCATCATATTTTTCTTGGCCTTGATCGCCGCGCGGCTTAGGGAATGGGAATATTTGAAAAACGCTATTAAGGCGTCACGGACCCCTGGCCGACATTGAAATAGTCTCCGCGAAATAGTTTGCGCATCTTCACGGACGTGTAGCTCAGAAATTAGAGATTTCGGCATTAAAAAGGGCAGAACTGTAAACTGCACCGGATGATATTTAAGATGGCTATTCCGTCTCAAAACTCAATACAAGTGTGGAACACTTCCTTTAAGTCACATCCGGTGCCCCCGATTCTAGTTGATCCTGTCCGGTTAAGTCTGGTTTGGTCTAGCCCCATCCGGTCCCGACTGGTCCCGACCGGTCCCGCTCGGTTCGGTCAGGCTCCTTCAGGTCCGGTTCCGTCAGGCCCAGTTCCGTCCCATCCGGTTCCGTTCGGTCATATCCGGTCCCTTCCGGTCCCATCTGCCCCGATAAGGTCTCTTTCGATTTCATCCGGCTCTGTCTGACTTGTCCGGCCCGGCCCCGTCTGGTTTGATCTGATTCCCTCCAGCCCCGTCTGGTTTGATCGGATTCCCTCCGGTCCCGTCTCGCCTCACAACATTCCATCCAGTTTCGTCCAGGTCCGGTTTCGTCAGCTTCCGTGCGGTCCCGCTCGGTCCTTCTCGGCTCCTTTCATCACAGTAGGTGCCGTCCGACCCTGTCCAGTCCGGTTAAATCCCCTCCGGTTCCGCCCGGTCCTGCTTGTCAAGTTCCATCCCGTCTTAATCCGTCCGGTCACGCGCGCTGCTGGTTCGGTGCGGCCCCATCCGGCCTCGTCTTTGGCCTGTAATGTGACTTTGAAGATCGACATGGTTCGCGTGCTTAGACGAGCACAAGCTGGAATTCATGCGTGTCTCTCGATGACACACTCTGTATCAGCATCAGCCCACACAGTCCCATACAGACAGCGCGACTCTACTACCCCGTCATTTCACCTCGAAAATTTGCGTTTTGAGCTTTTAACCGCCACAATCGACCTCGAAGGCTGACGTAGCCATGGCCCGCACTAGAATTGGCAGCGGGCTTGATAATGACGCCTGATTTGCTCAGATCGATGCGAAACAGCGTCAGTGCGGCGTTGCTCAGTCATATGACCTTAAATGCGACTTTGGGGAGTGGCATGGATCGTCCTGGCCTGGGTGATGCGTCTATGAAATACTGAAAATCAACGTTTTTAGCCGGCATACATGCTACTTAGTGTAGTCTGTTTAGATACAGGCCGTGCATCACACTGCGGCAATGCATCATGCAGGGCAGGAATCTTGCCATGAACTGACACTAGAGAAATGGCAGGGCCGGATGGTCGGTAGCCGCATAGCCGAGTCCAGCGGTCAGAGAGGTCAAACCGACGCCGAGGGAGCCGGGCCATTAAACTGCGAGACCGAGCGGCTAAAAACATTTGACGGTCGCTGGGGAGGACGCAGGCCCCAGGGCTGGCAGGTTGGTTTATACTTATCCACTCTTTTGCTCATGATGCCAACGATGTTATGACGTGTTCGCATTTCTAACAAAGACGGACGGGTGAATGGAACACTCACTTCACACTGTCGGTTAACATGAAGGACCTAACTAACATCTAAGGGCATTTTGTCGAACCACCTTTTTTACAGACACCTTAAGCTGCTTGACAGAAGATCTACCGCGGCGAACAGTGGAACGCTTATCACTGTGTTGCATTCGGCTATCTCGCAACAATAATGCACGTACTGCAGAACCCACTGGCACAAGCGGTAAGCTGGCCGAAACAGTGCTGCAAGTCCGGTGCAGGTTTTTATTGAGACGCTTCACAGATTCAGTTTGTTTGCTTAGTGCACCACAGTTAGTGACCAGCACACGCACACGTCTACCGCCAGCTACGCAGGGTGACACACACCACTGGACCAACGCACGAGTCTAAACAGCGCGAAACCATTGAACCCACCGTGGCAACAAAACAGCACGCTACCTTCGTAAACGTTTAAAGCTGACAGAGCAACACTGCTGCAATTACTGGTGGGCCCGGGTAACCACGATATCAATAAAGACCCGTAATAAGCATGTGACATCAAGCCATACTTCTACCGTGCAGTTAATCCCAGTCATTGTTTGTTTGACTGCACACAACCTTTGCGCGCTAAAAAAAAGCATCAAAAGAACTGGCCATGGACTGTCACTTCATGAGCCATACGTCCCTGATCGGGGTGTCAGCATGCAGACGACACGGCACAACACAAAATCACACCGCCTTTTGGGGATCGCTATGCCGGCTCTGGAGATCCGCCTTCCTCTGGACACAGCTGAACCCGATGACAATCTCAGATCGCGACTACCAATGTTCCCGTGTGACGTCACTGGTGCAACACGCAGCGGCCGGAAGCCGTTCTCGGGCCGCCCGAGGCACAGGCCGCAGCCGAAACAATACACACCGTGCCCTACAACGGCACCAACGCAGCCCGAAGCACTCAACGTCGGGGTTAAGCCGCTCGTTGCAACGCCGGATAATCGGGAGTTAATCGCTGGTGCTTTGGCTCAACTGTGCCAATTCGAAACGCCAACCACCACAGAACCCGTTACGATTTTTTAAAACCTTCCCGCCAAAATCAAACAGCAGATACTGATTACCTCAATGGAACACGATGCGATCTTTTCCCTTCATCTGGACAGACAGATATCTTCATCAATGCATCATCTAAGGTCGAAATAAGGCTGTATCATTAGCCATGAGTCTGCGCCTTGATCTCAACAATCCAGCCCATTGCCGTGGCTGGGCTGTTGGGAAGGGCACAGGCACAACCAATGATATTTTGTCCAGGTCAGCCAACACTGCAGTACTTTTCTTAATCTTAGAAAAATCTTTCTGATCGTGAGATTTTCGCCAGGCGTTTTCGACCAACACACCTAGGCCCTGTCGGGGATGAACATACATACGGACGCATGTAAACTTAGGTAGCAGACCTTCCAGTAAGCATTTCTTGTCGGACACAACACCGCAACACGAGGCCGTTACTTCTTTTTCGATTCGCTCAATATCCCGCAATGTCTCGTATCAAGCTTTTCGTCTCATGATCAAGCTCGGAAAGAGCTTATCTAAACCTGGCCATTCCTTTCCACATTAAAAACATATATACGCCATCGTCACGGCGAAAGTTAAGTTGGGACATCGTACAGTCATGACATATATATTGCAATTGATTCATGACTATAGTTCAAAGTTCACAGCCGCTTAGGCGTTCAAACGTTTGTTTCTTGATATATACCCAATACAGAACGTGTTATCATTATACATGCGTATACACGCAACTTCTGTTACAAGCGTATTCAGCATGTGCACCATTTCTCGGATATGATTCAGTCGATCCAGGGGCTCAACCATGTATCAACTCTCGTGAACTTTAAATTCAAAAATGCGGAACGTGAGGTAAACGGTGATTTGACCCTCTGTATCGCGAATATGTCGCACAGCAAATGTATTTACACCTGAGCGAATGTGGACTTCCATCTATCATCGTAAATAAAATGCAGCACGTCATATTTGTACATCATAACTTTTACTTCGACCTTGACGTCATATGTCAGACGAACTTCGGAGCATGATGACCAATTTAAGACGAGTTCTTTTAGAGCTTGATCACGATACGAGAAGTTTGGTGCAGACATGAGCGAAAAAAAGAAGAAGATGACGGCCGCATATTACGCCGCCTTATTCAACCACACGCGTGTATGTACCCCGCTTTTGTGGCGTACGCATGTAACTTTTCAAATTACGTACAGCCGAGTAAAAATTGCAACCCCGCAAACCAACATAAAAGGCCATTGATGCCAATATTAGTTACGTAAGTTG